TGTGAAGAGTTTGCTACATGCATGAGCATGGGATTTGAAATGAGTATGATGTGAGAGCGTAAATTCTTCCTCGATCTCCAAATTAAGCAAACTTGTGATGGAATCTTCATCAATCAAAGTAAGTGCATATTGGACATGCTCAAGATGTTTGACATCGATAATTTGAAGCCAATGAGCACCCCTATGAGCACATCCATAAAATTGGACAAGAATGATCAAGGTACTTCCTTTGATATAACAAAATATCGAGGTATGATCGGATCCCTTCTTTACTTAACCGTAAGTAGACCCGATATTAGTTTAGATATCTTAGTGACACTAGACATTTAGGGATTTGGTATCCCAAAGGCACTCAAATTGATCTACTTAATTATTCGAATGTCGACTGAGCCAGAAGCACAATTGATCGTAAAAGCATTAGCATTAGGCTTTGCACTTGTATCATGGTTTAGCAAGAAACAAAATTTCGTTGCATTGTCAACTATCGAAGTCGAATATATCTCGATCGCTAGTTGTTGTGCACAAGTTTTATGGATGAAACAAATTTTTAGTGATTTTCGCATATCCTTTGATCATATTCCAATAATATGTGATAACACTAGTGCCATAAACTTGTCTAAAAATCCTATTTTGCACTCTAGGACGAAGCACATTGAAATTAGACATCACTTCCTAAGAGACCATGCTAAAAAAAAGTGATATTATGTTAGAATTTGTAAATACAAAAAATCAATTAGCCTATATCTTCACAAAACCTCTAGCTCTTGATTGTTTCTCACATATTAGAAGAGATTTAGGCATTATTGGTGAATTTGAAGTACATGATTAAGTTCATAACTACATGCGCTTACATGTCTTCATCTCATTATTTCATGTGCATCATATTTACATGATTTTGTATATTTTATTACTTCAAAAAAAAAAAAATTGGACAAGAAATCGGATGTCCGGATTGAACCAAACCGTCTGGACGCTGACTATAAATTTTTTCTATCAAACCGGACGTCCGATTCAGTGACAGACCAACTTTTTAAATCGCGAACAAGTCCTTATTGTTCTCCATTTTCTTCCACTTTTCTCACTTTCTCTCCTTAATTCTCTTCTCCATCACTCAATCTTCAATCTCAAATCATCAATTACTCATCAAATAAGTTGATTTTGCTAACTTTACTATTGAAGCACCTGTATCATATTGAAGAGTATTTTGAACACATGGCGTAGGTGTCGGTAGCTACTCTAGAAGAACATGGATATCCTCGCCTTATGAAAGAGTTTTATAAAAATATGGTTATTACTCATCGCTTAGATGATATTTCATGTTTACTAAAAAATGTTCGTATCACCATCAAAATGCTCTATTCGTGATATTCTTGAGATTGAGCCATGTAATATTCAAAATTTTCTTCATAAAACTCATCCCACTTTTAAAGGGTATAACCCTTTCGAGTAGTGATGGCAACATGGCAGGTTCGGGGAGGGGCACCTCCGCCCTGTCACGTCACTCCTTCGTCCCACCCCGCCCCGCCTTAGACGGTACGAGGCTCGAGGCTCGGGGCAGGGTGTGGGGCGCAGACCTAGCCCGTTTGTTTTTTTAGTTATAATACAAATTTTAAAATCCAAAAAAATTAACTATATCAATACCCAAAGCAAACACTTAAAACAAAAAATATCCAAAATAATTTTTTTTTAATTCTTCGCTGGGCCGGTTCAGGGAGGGGTACTTACTCCCTGCCCCACCCCGAGACAGGGGGTGAACCTCACCCCTCCCCACCAACTCATTTGGGGCTGGTTTTTTTGACCCATTCGGAGCAGGGCACCGAGGGGACGGGGCGAGGAAAATTGTCATCTCTACTTTCGAGGCATGTCGTTGGGTAATCAAAAATGATTTTGAAAATGTCACACTGTTCTATTCCCTACTCGAATCCATAAAAGACTTTAAGGGAGAGAAAAGAGAGGCCCTATACCATAATTCTGCTGCCTCGGGACGACTGTACATTACATCATAGTAGGACGACTAAAACTTAGTGCAAATCAACTAACACTTCCATGTAATGTTTTACAAAACATCATTGCACATGTGTCCTCAAAAGGATCATTGAGACGAGGTAAACTTTTTTAATCTTTTTATCCTTGATTCCCTTTTTGTTGGGCGAAAACTAGATTTTTCAATTATTGCATTATGTTTCATGAAACTTGTGTATTCCTCACGTCATCTTAAAGCTTTGCTTTACAGAATGCTTCTTACAAAAAAATTTAAACATTTTGACATTCCACTACATGATGAGACATTTGTTAAACTTCGCCCAACCGACACTATCAACATTTAAACCCTTAAACGAATGAAGGTAATAAAAGAACATGGTCAATGGGTGGTGCACACAAAAGGGTTCGACCCCACCTCAGGTCCATTGAATCTACCTTTTGAAGCTGATGAGGATGACGATGCTGATGATATACTACAAGTTCCGCACCCTTCTCACGATGCTCTTGCCTCTAGTACTCCTCATTCCTCGACTGGTGGTTTCACATTTATCGAGGATCACTATAATCTTCTCAATGGCTGCATTGACTCTCTTACATCTTCAGTTGATGGCCTGGCGGGACACTTCAAGAGTTGTAGGTTCAATAGGCCACCATACGAGCTCAACCGAATGCCATTCAAGTACAATAGGCAGAAATGCAGGCCCAATAGGATGCATTCTACACTCACTTCCATGCATTTTTTCCTCTACCACCTCCTCCGGTGTAGTAGTCCTCAACTTTATTGCTATTTTAGATTGTTTTTAGATTTTCTATGCCTTATCTACACTCTTTATGTTTAGCTTATTTTTTTTGTTTTGTTGGACATCGTTATCTATGACTATTTCTTTTATGATCAATGCTAAGGTTATTGTGATACATTTTTTGTCATATGCTTTTTGTTTATGCCAAAAAGGAGAATGCGAGTGAGATAATTATGCATACATAATTTGATAATATGCTTGGAATATATGAAAAAGGGGGAAGAAGTAAAATCATTTATATATTATGAGTGTATGATTATCAATTTGTAAAAAACAGTGGGAATGCGAATTGCATGATAAATTGATATCAAATTGCTCGATCCTATTCTGCAAATCATCATGTTTGTCATAATAAAAAATGAGGAAATTGTTGACATATGGTTCATCGTATGTTTTGATTATAACAAACGAAGTATTTTAATTTTTTTTTATCTCTAACATTTACATTTGAATCTTCATTGTTACATGTTGCCAATTTCATGGGAATCAAGCATTCATAATCAAGCTTGAAAATAATCGCGGACTCGCGCCAAAAACAATCGGAGGCAAATCAAGCACTTGCACCAAATTCAAAATTGAGCAACAAATCAAGCACTCCCGGTAAATCAATTGAAGATATTAGATTATATGTTTGAACTCACTTATAAAGGTAAAATACTTCAATTCTTAGCAATGATTCACAACATCGAGCATTCAATTTTAAAAATACGACGAGATAAACTTTTCACAAAAACGCTTGCATAAAAATATTTTCGATATGACAAAAACTTCACTTGACTCTTAAATTCTTTACCAATGATAATTATTTTGAAAAGATAAATGAATGTGTCCATCAAGAATTTACACTTGTTGAAATAATCAAGAAAAGAGAAAATTGGAAATTTCTGTTCTAGCAGACGTCCGGTGGCCCCAACGGTCAAAATTCTAGTCATTCTGATTTTTGAAGTACAATGGCTAATTCATTTGTCCGGTCAGAGCGGACGTCCTATGGGAGTCGTTCGATTGGTCAGAACTTTTTGTGTTTGGACTACTATAAATACCACATCATTTTACATTCAATTACACACATTCAAGATCATTCAAGTGAGATATTTTTGAATAAAATTTGTATTGATTCTCATCTAATTTATTATTAAGTTATTTTAAATTTGGAAACTATTTGATCAAATCAACTTTTGAAAATCATTTTACACATCAAAGTTTTTCGTACTTAACACTTAAGTTTCATTAATTGTTATTTATTAAAGTGTTAGCATATTTCTCCCTTTGTACTTAATTGTGATCATATCATTTATTAAGAGTATTTGTAAAATCAATTTTCTTTAAACTTGCGATGATCATATCATTTATTAAGAGAATTTGTAAAATCAATTTTCTTTAAACTTGCGGGTCGTGTTCAGGTCATGTAAAGCTCAACGTTGTAAAAGAATCGGTGCTCCTTATTTGTAAGTCACCGAAAACTTTGTAAAGGGTTGTATTGCACTACAAGTCAATCAACATAGTGAAATTGGCTTTACTCGTGTCGGGGAGCTTGGTAACGGAGGACGTAGATCATTGCGTTGGATCAAACCTCCATAATTACACCGTTTGTATTCTCTATTCCTCTTTACTTATTACTTTCATTTTCATGCTTATTATTTAAATTAATCTATCTAGTTATTATGTACTTGATTATAGATTATTTTTTCAAAAAAAAAAATTTAAAAATCAATTCACCCCCCTCTTGGTTAACTATTCTTGGGTTATCATCTGTATGTATTCAACTTGCCCAAGACCATTTGCTTAATTTTCCTTCGACGTCAGCTCAGCTTGCTTTGCTTTGTGGATTTGTGATTTTTTTTTTTTTGGAAAAATTATGTGAAATTGGATTTTATTAGTTTTGACCTCTGAATCTTGCAATGGAGTTTGGGGACAAAGAAAGAACCAAATGGTTCAATTTTGGTAGAGCTGCTTTAGATAAAGAACCTTATTCTGGTAGGAAGAATCCCAATTTCCAATTCTTTATGCTTTAAACTGATTCATTTTGTTTTGTGGATCATATTCGACTGTTTATTGATTGATTGCCCCATTTTTTGGGAAGGGAAGAGAATTAATAGAAGAAGAAAGAGAAGGAGAAGGAAAAAGAGAAGGAGCTCAATGAATTCTTTAAAGTTGTAGTGGGCTATCATGCACAAGGAGAACGTGTGAACCTCTTCTAGGCAACCGTTATGCTAAAATCATTCTAGGTTCTAGGTGCATTGGGGTTTATGCAATATTTTTATACAAAAAAATTGAAATTTTGTTGATAGAATCAATTGTCTAGTGTGGAGTAAGAATTAGGTTATGGAAGCTCAATTGTTGGCGATCATAGTGACTACGATGATAACTCAAAGGTGCGGAGAGTACTTAGTTGGATGAGGAATTTAATGCGACAGATCATTGGACAATGTAGTAGTGGTTCAATTGGTAGATTATGGTAATGGTGAATTGAGTTAAAAGATACTCGACATTTTGATCGATATATTGTCGATGAAATGACTTAAAGATACTTGGCGGTGAATGAAAAAAGAGGAGGGACAGTGGTCGTGTTAATATATATTTTTAAAATTTTTTTTATCACTTTATTGAACTGATTCAAATGTTTTAATTGTTGTTTTATCACTTTTTTAAATGGTTGTCATTTTTTTTGAATTTTGTCACATTTTGAAGTGTTCATCACTTTTATTTTAATTTCTATCACTTTTTTTTTTTTTTAACATTTGTCACTTATTTTTGTCGTTTTCTTGAAATTTTTGTCACTTTGTTGAGTGACAAAGATCAAATTTTAATAAAAATGACATTGTATACCATTGATTAATTAAAAAAGTGACACTTAACTTTAAAAAGTGACAAAGTGTCACTTTTTTTTAAGCATTTTTTGCTTTTAAAATACTTTTCATATGATTTTTCAAAACATATCTAATTTTTAAGGTATTTTTGTAAGTTGCCCTTCCTTCAATTAATGCAAAACACATTCGAGTATTTGTGTAACGACCCAGGTCCCACCCCGGCCGTTAGATCGACGACGTACTGTCCCCACTGTACCAACATGAGTCTTTTCAGCATGCTTTGTCCTCACTCGCACGCTCCCCGAGAAAACTTCCCAGGGGGTCACCCATCATAGAATTGCTCCAAGCCAAGCACGCTTAACTGTGGAGTTTCTAACGATGGACTTCCGGAAAAGAAGGTGCACCTTGT